AATACATCTATAGATTGATTTCTTTGATTCAAGTGCCATCCCTCATATTTTCCAAACAACAAAGGTAAATCTGATACTAGAGATAGTATATATGCTTCTATACACAGCGCTAACTGCTATTAACCCAACAATTGCCTTATATACTGCTCCTCACATTGTCTCTTGACTTTACTTTATGTGTCTTGACTTTACATAAAGTCCATAACATTGTTACACTGGCTTTTATTAGCAAAGGTTAAGTGTTTTTCATTCAAATATGGCTGGTTGCTGTGTTTAGTTCAAAGTGACCATATTCCTACATGATTCAAGAGAATTAATACTTTATACTTGGCTAATAAAATACAACTATTAAAATATACTTATTGCATTGTTCTCAAGATTGAGGCCCTCAATGTGTGCTGGGAGACATGGTTTATTCACTTAGTATTAAATCAACACCTGTAAGTTGAACACTTTCTAAGTAGAAGACTTCTTTAAAACTTCAACATACACAGGTCTTACTGTATTATTAGATATTATCAATAGATTATTTTGAAATGCAAGAACTCGGCTCAGCACAACTGAGCAAAGCTACAGCTAGGGTGGAACCAGGGATATTAGAGTTGTGGTGGTTGTAAGCCACGCCCTCTCCATCTCTATCCTTCTGGAGAGATGCATCAGCGAGAGATGCTATAAGGATCAGAATGTAATAAAGTTCATCCAATCATCCTGCACATTATTTCACTGACTACATCTCCATGACCCTAAATTGATATAGGAGGGATAGCTTCCAATTTTCAAAAATTGCCAAATGTATACAACATATGCATAAGGAGAGAAAACAAGATATTACTTAATAAAGTCCAGAGTTATTTCCAGGAATTCCTCAACCAACTCACCTTGTAGCGCCCACTAGTGGCAAGACATAGAAGCTTCAAGGGTTCAGCACATAGCAATGCAGAATGTCCGTAAGACATCTTTGTCTAATTTGCGTCACCAAATTCAATTTAATGACAAAAACAAGATGAGCCTCACCATTCTCCTAATCTAATGCATTGAACATTTTGATAAACACATAACCAGCAATTCATGATTCATTCATCTTCTCAAATGTTCAACTAATCGTTATACCTGTGACATCAAACGTGAAAATCGACTTGCTTGTTATAATCTCATTTTCAAATTAACATGTGTCATCATTTGTTCTCAAAGAAGCTGATGTCTTTTTAAGTAATTATCCATTTCTTTAACACTTGGTTTGATAAATCCATTTTCTGCATGGAGCCTCTGAGATGTGGCCACTTTAAGGGGAGAGAGTGAAATTGTGAGCATGAGCATGTATACAGTGGCCGAACTATGAGTACATGAGGGACGTACCAATGACTAAACTGGAACTTATTTGTCCAATTCCCAAAAGTGAAAAAGGTTTTATTGTTTTTGTTATTCTCTGCTGTGTTAAACTAAATATATATCTCTATAGGAAAAGTGGGTACAAACTGCTCAACATGTGAAAACAAAATGACCACCAGTATACCATTGTTTATTAGCAGTATACTATTTTCCATCAGTATACCTGTATTTTAACTACACTCAAGGTAAATATTTCTACATGTTCCACCCCTCAAATACAATGAAGTATTTTCTAACGAGATGTACAAATGTTGACTTGGGTCCTACAATACACAATATATGTCAACATTCCAGAGGGTGGGTAAGAACCCTTGTAAAACATTATAGATCTAGGGCTATTTTCTTATATTCCCATAAAATTCAAATGCATATTTAACTTCCTTTTTCTTTTCCGATGTATTGATTTTCTTTACCAGTTCACTGATATTACCTTTTAAAATCACATTTTAAAAATGATTTTCATTGGTATAATCCATGTCATCTTTGGTAAATAAGATACTTTATTCTGATTCAAAAAACTTCATCTTCATGTATCTAATGAAATGTTACATATTTATAATTACCTATATGAGGATGAGTATTATTAGTTATTAGTTAAAATAAATTTAATTATTTGAATCATTATAACAAAAGAGGAATATTGTAACAATACTATAAACTTGAACAATTGTGGTTTTCTCAATCAGCTGAGAAGAACACCAGGTATGAACTTTATGATCATTAATCACATTTTAATGGAAGTCTATCATGGCATTGTTATATTTGAAAATAATTTGACAGTTCTTGTACCATGCTGAAGTACATGTATCATGACTAAAACATTAAGTGATTTATAAATGCCTTGCTTGTGTCTCCATGATTATAATGCTACCATTCAACTTATGGGAAGAAAATAACTTGCACTCCACACTGAAAATGATATGATGCACAAAATTAAAACTATGCAGTACTTTATTAGAACATTTACTTGAAAGGGTACTGAATCCTGCTCAAATATTGACTGGGCGTAAAACTACACCCAAAAGATTATAGCTCTATTTTGGTGATAACTATATACATGACCACTCCACCTAATTATCTCCCTCCTTTTTATAAAACCAAGTATCACAACATCACAACCGCCAAATGTGCTGCTTTGACCACTTTTGAGTTTTATTCAGATTTTTGATCTTGAAATGGCAGGATTAATTGGAAAGATTTTCAAGGGTTTTATAGCATTAGATGGAAGTTTGCACAAAGTTTATAAGTATGTGTAGTGTTTGAGAGGAGTCAACATACTTAAAATAAAGGCCATGAGGGAAATATTTTCTCTCATGACAAAATGCTAGATTTTCCATGTTCTTACAAATGTTGAATATTGCACAGTAGTTGCACGTGTTAAGGTGGACATGCTGGGATCATTTTGAACTGATTTGTTAATGACATGATACTTAATGGCCAGACTAGTTATACTAATATTCCCACCTTAAAGGGGCAATAAGGACTGTAGAGAAAATAGGAACGTTTTTTTTAATTTTTTCTGAGCTATCAAGGCAACATTTGGTTTAACATCTTCTTTGACATACCTATTTTCTTAAAATGTTTGGATAAATTATCAATTTCAGCATTAAGAAGTGTAAATTCAGTTCAAAGCTTCAAAAAGGGGACTTCCACTTTTATATTTTTAAGATCCACCATGTTTCAAGAGGAATATCAGCTAAAATAATGTTTATCTAGGGGGTTTCTTTGTAGATAATAAAAATAGATGTTAGTCTTGATGAAATATCCAAACTTAAATATATTTTGACACTGGTCCATGATCGTTGAATTACCCCTCTGCACTAATTATTGCACCTTTAATATATCAAGGAATGATTGAGAAACATAAATATTATGACACTTAAAATAGTATTTTATCATTTTTTACATCATAATTTTGCTTATTTTTCAATATTTTCATTTCATGGCTTGCTCTATTGACTAAACATATAAATCTATGGACTAATTGAGTTGCCAGATGCCACTTTTAGTTTGAGGTTTTGAATATTAACAGATAACATAAAACTTCTCAATATGCGGCTCTACTTTTCTTGATATTTCTGGTGTTGACCTTGTCATAGTAGAACAATATCCAGTAGTTGGATTACAATTTCAAAGATGTCACTTGCCAAGATAATATTTACAATCAAGGTAACAAAGGCCAAAATAGGAGCAACTGATCTGCGTAAATGAAATGAGGAAAATCTGCAGGACCAAAAATGTATATATTGGACCCAGTGAGCAGTGAATAGTTTATATTATGCCTCATTTATAATGAGATATACATGAGCATAGCCAGGGGGCATCGTGAGATATCACAGCCTTCTCTCAGTTTCCTTCTAGAATGCCGTGAGTTACTTGGCAAAAGCCTTCGATCTGATGGGGGCGTGGCCCGTCCAGATTTCAGCAAAAGTGATATGACGAATCAAATCCATATTTACAGGTCACGTGACAGTGAGTGCCGGGGGTAAGAACTCAACCAATCAGATCGCTCAGTTTCAAAACAATCGCGTTAAATTACACAACACATGGTCTTGTGGTAGAATTCTCGCTAAGCACACTGTAGGCCCGAGGTCGAATCCCGCCTTCGCCTTTTTATTTTTTTTAACTAAATGATTGTTCTTTGATATTACACAGAAAAAAAAAATTTTCATTTACATAAACTTTATATAAGAGCTTGAAAATGTAAAAACAATATATGTCAACATATTGCGTTTTGGAGCGATGTGCACTTTGTGCAGGTTTAAAGTTTTTGATCACGTACAGGCTTCCCTTTTGGCATTTGCGCTATATTCAAGAGAAGTGTATACCATTGATAGAAAATAAACAGGGTGTATTCCTTAGTACTAAAACTGGAAGCGGGAAGAGTTTGTGCTACCACAATGATCCCCATTCTGATACTCAGACCATCTCTGCTATGCACAAGAAGGAAACTGAGAGAAGGCTGTGATATCTCACGATCGATGATCCCGGAAGTGTTAGAAAGATAGACCGAAAGATAATGGTACCTCGTTAGGAAAAAAGAATTTTTCTAAACTTGTTAAATACACGTTCAAATCGATGGAAAACGTACTAGGTATCGACTTCTTGTGTAGAAAATGAGATAAAGACGTGATGTGAGTAGATATTTACCCCTCGAGGATCAACAAGTTAGAAATCTTTAAAAGTGAAAAAATATGTAGGTCATGTCGGACGTCATTTTCGTTTCATAAATTCAACTTCAAATAAGTCGGGTTTAAACGCATGGATTGCCAAGAAACTCGAATATATATAACTTTGAAGCACCATGGTTGTAGTGAACTACAAATCATGTATAACATCGTGGGGAAAAGGTATATTTTCTAATTTTAGAAATTCATCAACTGTGATTGGTTAGAATTCTGACGTCATTAATATCATTATAAATCTAGGCCCCGCCCATTCGATCGGCAATCAGTGCAAAGTATATCAGAGCATTCTTGTGCATAGCAGAGATGGTCTGAGTATCAGAATGGCCAGGGGGTGTGATGCCTCTATGTTGAAAACTTATATCCATATATCCAGTTAAATTGTGCAAACATTATTTAACTAATAATCAATAAAATAATTCTTACCTCTTCATCTTGAATAACACTGCCATCTATATTTCCTGATGGGGACCTCAAGAATGGCGATGATGGGCTGCTAGCTTTCCCCGAATCTTGATCACTTGGTTTTCGTTCATGTCCCTTGTGGTTGAAGTCTAAAGGTGGCGCCGACATTTGTCGAAACTCCCGAGATTTTTGATTCTGCGGCGTTGGTGTCAAAGAACGTTCACGTTCATCTCCAGATTTTGATTGGTCAGAATTGTAGTCCCCCTTTCTATGATACTGATGGGCATAGTATTTCTTATGGAGAGTATCAAGGAGTGTTTTTGCAGTGTTGGGGGACATAGGGGTGGTTGGGGTGGGAGTTCTGGTAGAGTCACTGTCAGAAGGGATGCTATGATTACCATTTGATTCTGTGCTGCGGCTCGTAACACTTCGTCTCTCTAAGCTATCAATTTCTGATGCCTTCACCCAGGGATTCGTTGTTGGGGCAACATTTGACTGAGCTTCAGGTATTTTGATCCCTTTCTCATTTAGAAGCTGGAGCAAACTTGGAAGTTTCATATGATCTCTGGGTTGGGATATTGGGGCCTGGGGGGTTGGAGGGATTTGGGGGGCCACAGGACACTCAACGTGAAAGGTTTGACGTTTTAGTGGTGCTGGATTGTGATTTAAATCAGTGTTTGCTTTATTGTTAGTTCCACTTGTGTAGAATTCTGATTTGGTTAAACGTGGCGATTTTACTTGTTGGGCAACTTGACGCTTTTGGTCATCAACATTTGTTTCACTTTTGTGGAACTCTATGTTTTCACGAACAATGTCAAGATTTTTACTTGGTCTTTCAAGGGACATAGTGTTGTATTTATTGGTAGGGGAGTGTTCTGCATCAACTGCACTCTGATTGCGATATATCAGAACACCAGCGGGCGTCCCTTCCCTCACCCCCCTAAGCTGCTCACACTTCCTGTTAGCTACTCCATTCAATTTATCATGTCCATTTTTTATTTTCAATGACTGGCTAGTTTGTTTATGTGAGAGTTTGTAGTCTTTTTTAGAGTCATGTTCATTCACTGAATGAGACTTCTTCACACTAACATCTTTACTTTTTGATGTTTGAGTACTTCGTGTGACTTTTTTTGCTTTTGACTTTGATTTTCCACTTGACCTCTTCACATCATGTCTTTCAAAGTTTAAGTTTGTATTTTTTGTATCGTTATTGTTTGGAGTGTGCACTTCATTTGGAGACCCATTTATTATATCATTACCTTTGGTGACATGTGACACATTAGTTTCATTTCTTTTTGTCTTTAAATCTGATTTTGCTTTCTCAGATGACTCTGTCTTGTTATTTGAATTAACCACTGATCCTCTGCTTATTGGTAAATTAGTTTTATTATGCAAAGAAAATGCAGTTCGGTTGCTATGGTGACCAATATCTCCTATGCCCATTTTAGGACGTTTATTATAAGTTTCTAAAGTTTCAGCACTTTTACAAGTAACAGCAAGTGGATACTTCTCTATTTTCTGACCTTCAACTTCGAGAAGTTTCCCATGTGAGCCACTTTGGACTGTTAACAAATTCACTTCATTGTCAGGCTTGGGTCGAAATATCAATGGAAATGTGCTGCTGTTTCCACCCTCTGTGTTGAATGAAATACTTTGAAGTTTTTCAGAAAGTTTCTTAAGTTTGTCTGCAAGTCCTGACTTAGCAGATTTTCCTGCAGGGGGATTACCAATATTACACTCTGGGTTTGACTCGACAGGTGTTGATGGTGTTGCCATAGTAACAGGCGTATCCTTAGCAACAGGGGGTTTATCAGGTGTTTTTGCTTTGATAGCTATCTTTGGGGAAAGGCTTCTACTGCGATAGTCATGGTCTAAAACAAGAGGCTTATGCTTCATTTTTGGTTCAAAAGCTGCCACAAATCTACTCAAAGGATTAGAACTTGACTTTGATTTGACTGGTATAAAAGCTGATTGATTAAATGCTTTTAAATGTCCTATTGATGAGAGTGGTTTGGCAGTATGTTTCTCAGTTGACTTTTGAAGGAAAACTTCTCGTCCATTTTCATCAACTTTATGGTTGTCTGCTATTTTTGATTTTGTTGAGTTTTGATCGACTGCCTTTGAGTTAAGTTTTGAAGAGTGTTTATCATTATGTTTCTCTACATTTATGTCAACAGAGGCTCTGGCCTTATTTGGCCATCTAATGGAACCAGAATCAACACTCTTACTCCTACCAGCCACTCCTAACTTTGGTTGCTTTCTCGTTTGTGCACTCCTGTTTTCACCATGGGAGAAGCCTCTTGGGAATGTGTCCCCTTTTAGCAAAGGAGATGGGCTTCTTGACCTGGATCTAGAGCCAGAAAATGTCCGAGAACGATCACGTCTGCTTTGACGTTCCTCAGTAATCTCCATTGGGTAACTCTCCCCTTTAAGCATAGGAGAAGGACTTCTGGGTCTATCCCCTCGTAGTTTCTGGGATTGCACTAGTCTCATAATTTCATTATCACTGAAGGAACCACTTTCAATACTGTTCCTTGGTAACTTATCAACCACTTGTACCTTCGCAGTATCACATTTTGGGGGAATTGTTTCACATTGTGCTTTCACATTTTCACATTTTGATTCCGATTCTTTGTTTTTATATTGTTCTTTATTAGTTTTGGTTTGTTGTTCAATGCGGGTCTGTCCAGTTTCAAACATGGATACAAGCTGATGAACAGGTGAATGAACCTCAACAACTACCCTGGCATCTTCAAAAACATTTGGCTCATCCTCATCATGTTCTTTGTTATCCCCATGGTGTCCTTTATTGTTCTTATATTGTCCTCTGTTGTTATCATTCTGAGAGACACCAATCCTCAGATTAGCTGGTTTGTGTCTTACATGAACAGAATTTAGTTTGGTATTATCAGCTGTATGTTGAGATTTTTCATTGCTTGTTGTTTTGGACATCGACCTTGCATTCTTATCAATAATTTGGAATTTATTAAGAGGTGTTTTAACATATGTTGTTTGATCATTGCGATTAATCTCATATTTATTACACTTAGAACTGTCTGACTGCTTCAAAATATTGCCACTAGATGTCTCTACCTGCTTGAGTGGTGAATTCCCATGCTGTATGTTTCCAACAGATGTTTCATATTTATTGTTCTGATTACGATCAAAAGATGTCACTGGTATAGAACCTTTATTGTGAGATGTTGGCGATGAGATTGATAATCCTTTAGGTTTCGGTAAAAGCACAGGTTTCTGGAGCTTGAGATTTCGTGACTTGGGAGCAGCCCCTACTGAGTATTTGGGGGTTACATCCAGGGGATATGAGGCATTCTGAGAGCCATCTATAGAGCATGAGATGGTGGTTAGTTTGTACTCCATATCGCTGCAACTGCTTAGTGTTGCACTGTCTCTGTCAGTGTCTGAGTCTGTGTTGGTGCCTTCCTCATCACAACTGCTGTAAACCTGAAAACACATTGAAAATATGTTTAATTAAAGTGGTGATATAACATAGATATACATTGAAAATAGGTTTAATTAAAGTGGCAATAAAACATAGATCACTATATTGCCCTTTCGAAATGACGTCATTGTACTATTATTATATTCCAGATTTCAAAACCATTAAGCTGCTCTTTTCTGAAGATAGCAGAGACTCATAATACTTTGACTGGTGTAATGACCATTTCATACACCTGAATTCCAACTCATTGATATGTGATACTGAAAATACTCTTCAGCTTAGGTGACAGTAAATAATCAGTTGAAGCATTTGACAGTGGCATATCTGAAACCTGATAATGTATATCATTGATTGTTTCTCAATAGCCACCATCAACTTAAACCTGATATTTATGTTGAAAAGGTGAACATAATTCACTCAAGATATGTCCACCTTAAAAGGAATTGAATATCAACAAGTTTTTATGAAAGACCATCCACATCAATCCTTGCAACTTTTTATGCAAATAAGTTGGTTTATTTTTCCTTACATGAGATTTATACAATAAACACAACAGTGAACTTAAATTGACAGTTTTTGACATTCTTAGTTGACAGAATAAAAAATGTGAATAATCTATATCTATAAGAGTATCTAAAATCCTTTGCTGACATTTTATCTTTCTGTATTCAAATATTAAGGTGGTTAAAATGATACACATTGATCAGATGGATTATTCATTCTACATTGCTTACCTTAATGTATAGAAGTAGTCAGCTTTCGAAGAAACTTTTTTTAAAAATACCCTAAAATGTTCTTCATATTTTGCTTTTAATGGTAAGGTATGTTACTAATATCTCAGCTATATTGTACTAAGAGCAGATATGTAACACTATTAAACATGAAATGTATCCATATTTATTTTTAATAATTTCCAAACACCTTTCAACCAATTAAGGTAAGCAGTTTCCAAGAAAACTATACTATATGTACTAAATTGTGTATACATTAAGGCGGGATCATTCTACTGTCAATATTTGTTGAAATAATTTCTGAAGAATTGCATGTATAAATTCCAAGAAGGTATTATAAATCCTATGTACACATATATTACAGACCTCAATCGACATATATACCTTAAACTAATATTGAAGTTGGCCAACATTTTGCAATATCCTTATAGATAAATATGAAATGATATAAAATAATCTAATGTTATTATTAAATTACTTTATCAAAACAACAGTCATATTTAAATATGTTTTTAATACGTCTAGGCTGATAATGTCATTTCTGTTTTCTATTTTGCTTGAATATATCTACATTGTACAATAGGTTAAGCCCTAGGACACACATGTATAACATTTCCAAGGGGGATTAATGTTATGGTGATGGTTTAAGACATTAATAGCAGCATATACTACAAAGTCTGGAACAATTCCATCAGCTCTTCTGAACAATCTAAATTATTACATTTGCTAGATGTGTGAAATCTAAATCTTGTATAGTAACAAAACACCAGAGAAACATTCCTGTGTTTAATATGACAGAATGGATAAATACCCCCCCCCCCCTACCACACACATTCTCGATCTTCGCTACAATTAGTCAATAAATGGGGATTTTCACAAGAGCAGTTGAAAAGATAATATTTGTCCAAGAAGCATTGATTATTTGCATAAAATGGCCCTAACATGGGTTGAAATGAATACTATTTGGAAGCAGTAGCCACATCTAGCAATTGGTGGGCTTATAAGACCCACTAAACTTCACCAAAACAGCTTTATGTCTGATACGAAAAAGTTCTCATCTGAAGAAGACCAATAATAGTAAAACCCTCTGCAATACAATAGAAGAAAGCAAGAGTACCTCCAACCAAGAAATATAATCATTTAAAGCCAAACGTGTCATTAAGTTTTGATAAAAAAGGTAATTAATTCTACAGAAATATGAATGTGAGTTAGCATGCATTAGACCCCTCATTAATCATCATAACAATACCTCCCTCTTTAACAATGTTTTGTCCCCAAATATGGAAACTCAAGTTTTTATTGAATGAGATGATTGAGTTGGATATAATATAACAGAATGTGATATTTCAATAGTATTTAGTGAAAACTGCTTTTCATTTACTAATTTACACAAAAGTTCTGGAGGTATTCTTTGAAAATTCAGAAAATTAAATTAATTCCATGTTTAAATATGGAGTGAATATCTTAAATTATAAAAGCTTTGACAATATAAAGCAAAATATTTTCATTTCTTTGATAATTGTTTTTAGAAATCATTTTCCTTTATGATGGAAATGACAAGAGTTTTGGCCAATTTCATAGCATGCAAATAATGATGACAAAATATTTGTTTTGTAGCAATAGGATATTGGAAGTTTCGAGTTAAGGCTGACATTTATTCTGGCAAATGATATTCACTTTATTTGTAAATTATCCTGTAGTAAACACACATGGGAAACATTTAGTATAATCAAACGGTATCCTTGATGATTTTCCAAATAATAAAGTTTGTAAAGTTTATGGTGTCTTGCTTCAAGCTCTCGTTCATTACACTCACCCCTCCCCTCCTCTATACATTCCACACATCTGTGGGTTAAGTGGGGGGGGGGGGGTGTCAAGAAATTCGATTTAACACAAGATTTATGACACTATTCAAAAGTAAGATTTATCAATCTTAAGACAATATGTCAAACTCAGTGATGATGCAAAGTAAAGAAATACCAAGCTCCCAGTTGAAAATACATAAAGAAACACAAACGAAACATTCTGACATGAAGATGAGCAATGTACTTTGTTTTGTTTAACAGGTAAAATCATTAATCTTATCACACACAAATCATCCTAAACCTACAGGTAGTAAAATTATGGCCCATTACAGGCCCGTAACCAGGATTTGCCAAGGGGGGGTTCATTTTTCAAAAATTTCCAGGGGGGGGTTCACATTTGACAATTTTGGCCCAAATATGGCTAAAATCACTTGAGAAGTGCTCAAAATGGTGAAAAACTGCATGATTTTAAAATAATTTTTGGCCAGGGGGGGTTCGCCCGAACCCTGCGAACCCCCCTGGCTACGGGCCTGCATTACTTATGTGAAATTCTTGTTAGGAGTATACAATTTATACATAAATTACATTAATGTTTCAGCTATTTCAAACTAATGAAATAAGGTTGCATATATACATGTATGATGTAAACCAACTTAGACAGTAAAATATCTTTCTCAAACATACACATTCTTATGCACTTATAATCCAACAGTCCAAAGCATAAAAAAGCAATGTGAGACCTCTGGCCTAATTTCTAAGCTAGTTTCTTAATTTCATAAATACAGTCTGTTTCCTTATTTCAATTGATGACAGAGACATTGATGACATTTTTGGACTTGAACTTTTTAGACCTATTCTACATTTATCTAGCTAATTTTGTTCTTTATTTGAACTTTTTGATTTGAACTTTTTGGCCTACTCTAGATGATGGAAGCAATTAGTAACCTACATGTGTGCAATTTTCATTCATTTTGAGATTTCCCAGCTGACCATACGATGATCTTTCCACTGCCCATAGTTTACATGTTGTCTGGCCATAATGCTCAGTAATTGATTGTTTATGAATATCATGATTAGTGATTATAGCATGATCACCATGGTGGTGCCCATCAGCAGGCAATGTTACATTCTCTTACATGATTGGGTAATGGTGTTATGCACTCTAATTATTAGTCAGCTACCACACATCGTATATCTTGCATTTTCTCATTCTCATATAATATCAGATTCTCTCTTTATCAAATACTTGTGAAAATACATGTATCTGGTTCTACCCCAGAGGGTGACAGCTCTGGAACTCACAATGGGATTTCCCATGTAAGATGTGGGGTTTCCATGATTAAATCACCATGGGAACCACTTGCAACTCTACATTTTGCATGCTTATGTTATGTCATGGAGAGCAATGATAATGATGATGAGCTACCACACTTTATACAGATTTCTTGAAGTGAAGTTTTCATGATGAAGAATCATATACATTCATTGGTTCATATCCAATTAAAAATAATTGACTTTTTAAAAACCAATGTCCATCCTCCCAAAATATAATATTGATTATGTTTGTGGAAATACATACTTTATACCCATTATTAAAACTAGCAGACCTCCACTCTCCCAACACAGCAGACACACACACATTCACAGAGGGTTCCAGGCCTCAGCCACAAATTCCATTCTTCCTTCCAGCTTATAATGAAACAGCTGATCCACAGGGGAATTATAGTAAGGCACTTGTGGTTGATGTCTGGAGCCCTACATTCATTTATTTAAAGGATGGCTTGGATATCAAACCGCCATATAATGTAAATGCCTTATCGTTCATTCACTCCCCTACATTCATCATTTAAAGGATGGCTTCGATATCAAACCCCCATATAATGTAAATGCCTTATCGTTCATTCACTCCCCTACATTCATTTATTTAAAGGATGGCTTGGATATCAAACCGCCATATAATGTTAATGCCTTATAGTTCATTCACTCCCCTACATTCATTTATTTAAAGGATGGCTTGGATATCAAACCGCCATATAATGTAAATGCCTTATAGTTCATTTACTCCCCTACATTCATTTATTTAAAGGATGGCTTGGATATCAAACCACCATATAATGTAAATGCCTTATAGTTCATTTACTCCCCTACATTCATTTATTTAAAGGATGGCTTGGATATCAAACCACCATATAATGTAAATGCCTTATCGTTCATTCACTCCCCTACATTCATTCATTTAAAGGATGGCTTGGATATCAAACCACCATATAATGTAAATGCCTTATCGTTCATTCACTCCCCTACATTCATTCATTTAAAGGATGGCTTGGATATCAAACCACCATATAATGTAAATGCCTTATCGTTCATTCACTCCCCTACATTCATTCATTTAAAGGATGGCTTGGATATCAAACCACCATATAATGTAAATGCCTTATCGTTCATTCACTCCCCTACATTCAT